AATCGAGAAGACCGGCTCGCGAAACGGAGCAGCGTCCGTCGAGAATAGAGCCGAACATTCACGAACTCCGAAACGAGCTCGAGAACCGAGCCGAACATTCGCGAACTCCGAAACGAGCGCGTGGCTCGCCGACCGCGGAGCCGCCGAACGTTCGCGAAGCCACGAGAGCAGACCGAGCATAGCAACGCGACGTTGTTGACTGTCCGCGGACTATAGCAACGCGGTAATATGTATAAATATCGGTTTCGGAGCCGCGATCGCGGCAGATTCCTGCTGTGCTCTTTTGGGAGAGAACGAGGTAATTACCACGGTCGCCCTTTAGAGTCACGGGAGAGTACGGGGGCTCTTAACTGGCCGCCCTGGTATGGAGAGGACGGCAGGAACTTGCCGCCGGTCGCCTACCAGGGAATGGACGGTGGAACCACCCGGACGCACGAGGGAATCCAGAGAGCATCTTCTGCTCTTCTCCTGGGTTGGAGAGAACGGCTGGAACCTACCGCCGGTCGCCATCCAGGGGGAGCAAGCGGAAGAATACTCTCTGGTTCGTGTTAAATAGGAGAGAACGGCTGGAACTTGCCGCCGGTCGCCCAGTCTATCGTATTTTCGGGAAAGAACGGCTGGACCTCGCCGCCGCGCCGGTCGCCTACTAATGAGGGGAGTACGGGAATTCTATCCTGGCCGCCCTCGGAATGGAGAGAACGGCTGGATTATTCGCCGGTCGTCTGTATAATTGTATAATTGACAGATTTTGGAATTATATGTTTGTGTTGTATAAAACCAAATATGAATAAACATTGTTATTTGTTTTCCACAGAATCCTTTGAGAAGTTTTCCTTTGCGATTATCCTTGCAACAATCCATCCTACAATATACATTTTTGCATGTAAAAAAAATTGTTCAAAATTATTGTAAAACTCCGTAAACGACGTTTCCGCCCGAACTGTTCTCCGTTGTCTTGATTTTGTACTTGTATAATTGTTTAATTAACAGATTTTGGAATTGACAGATTTTGAAATTTTATGTTGTGTTGTATGAAAGCAAAGATGAATAAATATTGTTATTTGTTATTTCCACAGATTCCTTTAAGAGTATTCCTTTGCAATTATCCAAGCAAGAAAAAAACCCATCCTACAAAACAAAAATTATAAATTTTCGAAATATTATTTAAACAAATAAAGTTTATTGAAATTTTTTTATGCACAAAAGTTCCCTATTTAAAGACGAACAATTTACAAAAAGAAGAATCCAATTATCTTCTTTAATTCCGAAGATATTCTCAAAAATATGATTTCAACCCCAACTTCGAGGGCTATTTTCACCCCTTCAACATGCACGATTGCCGATAAAAAAAATACGTATCAAATATTTTTTTGAGGACTATATCTCACATAAGTTTCATCAAAATCGGCGTGTCGGAGTTGGATATGTTCCCTTGTCAGACAATTAGTTAAACAGTTATTTTAGGAGAAAACTTTTAGTAAGCCTTTTGCAGTTTTTTTTATCTTAGAGTATTATGTAATATGAATTACTTGTGGTGTTATAATTAATGGAAAAACGATTGTAACTGTGGAAAAATTATAAGAAAATTTGCATTAACATTTTCAATAAAAACCCTACATTTATAATTTCCGGATGAAGGAGTGTGTACACGAGATATAGCTATTAAATAACGAGACTGACGTTGCTGCAGAAAAAGTACGCATGAGCCAACCGCAGAGATCTATACAAAAATCAAAGTTATAATTAGTTTTATGACAAATAATTTATAAGTGATAACTTCACAAATATCCATTACATTCATATCAGTCCTAAAGAATTAAATTCCAATTTTTCGAAACATTGAAAAAATAAACTAAAACATTAATGCAATAGAAAATCGGAAAGTCACAATGCTGATATATAACTTAACTTCCAACATTTTTGATCTTTCAATTTTTCGATATTTTGACAGTTTAAAAATTTCTCCTCCAGTTTTCAACTTAATTTAACGAAATATGATAATACGTAGGTAGATCTATAAGATCATGTATTTCGACTTTTAAACAAAACAATTACTTATATATTGGTTTATACTATTTTGTTACTAATCAACTTTTACATAAATGGCAACAACTAGATTTATTTTTGTATTTAAAAAAAAAGTGTCTTTATTCTTGTCTTAAATAAACGCTGAAAAAATGCTGTTTGATTTCCTACAACACGTTGAAAATAAGCAACATGAAAGTAGCATAAAATTAGCTGTAGTATGAATATTTCTTGTCATTTTCTTAACAAAAAAAATGACCTTAATCTGAATCGAAAATCTACACACAATGTGATATTCTTCTCGTATATTCATTAAATATTAAAAGAAGTCTCACTTTATGATAGTATATAGAATATTCTCTCGAAATTTGAATAGATTTTGTAAAAGAGACTGGCATTGCTTTTGCCACTATTGAAATTTATAATTTTGTCGAATGAATGGAAATATAGTAGACGTTGAGCAAGGAATGAAAAGACACAACGGACGTATGCATAGAATTCGTTCCCTTTCGAAATTTCGTTGAATAACCTCGAATAACTTTCTTTGACATATCGGCATACAAATGACACGCATACTAACACCATTTGCGCTTAAAATTCAATCGTCATACATCAAATTTCAAATAAACACAATTGATACAGAAAGAATAAATATATTTGTCCCAATCAATTTCATTATGTTTTGATTTTGCAATATTCAACAGATATTTTTTATAGCTGTTTATTTATATTTAAGTATCAATTTGAAAATCACTACTGAGAAATTTAATTAAAAGTAAACGTATATCTTTTAGCATTTAAAAGATCTACTCCCTGGAATTATAAAAATTTATAAAGGAATATGTTGTAATTTTTTCGAACGCATTGTTAAATGCTATTACATTATTACATGAATATTATATGATGGGATTATTGAAGAATTAATAGTATACTATAATGTTACCAATTTCTTGCAATATATCTGTAATTTAAATTATAGAAATTAGCATTAATACAAAAGTTCCAAAGAATTTTAATTGTGCACGACATAGAAAAGTAAAATCATTTTCTTAAAAGTTAATTCCTTGTCAAACTGATATATCTGCATTTAAATAATTTTATGGATAATTCGACAAATAAAAGAATGATCGTTCACTATGTACATATAATTGAAAGTTTGTTGTAATTCATAATAAATGTGCAGCATCGATGCTTTTAAATTCCTCACTTATATCACATTTCATTTCACAAATTAATAATTAGAAACGCTTAATACTATCAATATAAAATTTGTAAGAAAGAAAAACATGATTTTGCAATACTTCAATTGAAAATTTTAATCAGCTGTTAAAAAATAAATTGATATATGAATCTCATTTTGTACATGGTGCTCGAAAATTACACGTTGCGTTATTTTGTACCCCTAAATTGCAAAGATGTAAGAAAGATCTCCCAAAATCGAACTTTACATTTAATGTCATATTTTTTTTCCTGTTATAACACGCAATATTTATCGAGCGGATGAACAGTTTCAAGAGAACTATAGTTGTTTTCACCTCTTTTATGGTTTTTTTCTTAATACATTTGCTTAAAAAATGATAATAAAATTCTGTTGCTGGTACCTCAATATGGAATGATAATAAGATCGCATTCGGAAAGTAGAAAATGTAGTATGACGTTTTTTTGGCTCGATGCCTTGTTTTCGAGAAGATTAATTATGAAGCATAACTGTGGTATCATTCAGTTCTTCATAGTTTCCGTTGATTGCCAACAAGTATTCAACCACGCGTGCATCTAATTGAATCTATTTCAAATCGGTATTCTCATAAATGGAAGAATCGAATGAAAAAATTTTATATCAAATTTTTTTAGTTATTTTTTCACATAGAATCTTTGAAATTCTAAAAGGATTTTTATGAATTTGGACATTTAAATACTTAAAAAGTTGCAAAGTCGAATATCCGTACTTATTACTCACAATTAGTAATACATGTGTATACGAGACGTGTACGTAGGACGAACGAGCTGCTCTTGATTAGATTTTAGTGTATACATATACAGCTTGTTTTAATCCTCTATCGTCTTTTTTTAAACGAACAATGATTATTCCGATTTTTATTCAACACCAGCAGTACCAAATTAAGAACTTTAACAGCCCTAAGCACAAAATTATAAAAAATTTTTTTCGATAAATAATTAGGATTTTCTATTGTTTTAAGTTATACAATATATTTATAATTTCTATACTCCTAAATATAACTTTATACAATTCAGTATGTTTTTATGGTGTACCCTTCTTTTCCTGATACTCTGAATGCTCGTCTACTTTGCTCATGCTTCTACAGTGTAGGATAAAAGTTTTCGTAGACTCGAAATATAGAAATAAGAGCAACAATATTTTCTATATTATTAAGTATATTTAATCATATATAGTTATATATTATACGTAACACTTACAGCAACAAATGACCCAAAACTGAAGGCAATAACATCATGTAATAATTTGAAATGACTTGAAATTCGCGAGACTGTAAGAAATCGCCGGAACAAAAGTATTCGTACATTATCATTTATGTTGATAAATACAACAATTGCAATGGTATCAGGACGTTCTGATTAATGTGACCACTACATTAGATGATGTTCTGTTAGTGTAGTCAGTAGCAATTCTAGTGAGTACACTTTAACACTAATATTTGCAGTATGGGGAGAACACGCAAAGAAACAACAATAAAAGAAAGAAAAATTATTATATGGTTACATGAAGAAGGTAAATCATATGGGAATATATCATAAATACTAAAAAGAAGTCGATCGACTGTGCAAAGTGTTATAAACAAGTACAAAAATGAAAGAATATTCCGAAATAAAAAAAGAACCGGTAGACCCCAAAAATGAACTACGAGGTAAGAACGTAAAATCGTCCGAACTATTAAAGAAAAACCAGATACCAGTTTAAAATTGCATCACACCTTAAAAATATATGCTGAAGGAAAATGACCCTAAAGCAGTACGTAGAGTTCTGCATTGGGCCTGACATAACAGTAGAATTGCAGGGAACAATCCACTCATAAGCAATGTAAACGAAAAAAAGAGATTAGAATTCACAGAACAATATATAAATGCTAATGACGACTTCTTGAAAATCTTAGTATTTTCCAACGAGTCAAAATTTAATATTTTTGAGTCGGACGGCAGTAAAATGGCGAAAAGCTAATAAGGAATTGGATTTCAAAAATATGCAACCGACAACGAAACATGAAGGTGGATCTGTAATGGTGTGGGTATGTATTGCTGCTTCTGGAGACGGCAATTTAGTATTAATAGATAAAATAATGAATAAACATATATATTTAAATATATTAAAAGAAAATGTTCAAAATAGTGTAGATGAATTAGAATGAATTAGACGAATTTTATTTTCAGCAAGACTGTGACGCGAAACATACAGGTTATATGCATAGTGCGTCAGTCGTTGTTAATACCAATACTCCCCACAGGTTAGCATTTCCTCCACAATTGCTTGACTTATATCCTATCGAACATGTATGGACGAAACTAGGAAAAAATGTGCGAAAACATGATATAACGTCAAAAGAACACTTGAAAGAAATATTAAAAAGTGAATGGTGTAATATAGAACTTGACTTCGTTAACAGTTTGGTGTTATCAATGCTTGATATATTACGTGAAGTGATTCGCCGGAAGTTAGTACGAATACTTTTGTCCCGGCGATTTCTTACAGTCTCGTGAACTTCAAGTCATTTCAAGTTACTACAAGCTGATATTGCTTTCAGTTTTGGATCATTTGTTGCTGCAAGTGTAATGTTTAATATACAACTATATATGATTAAGTGTACTTAATAATATAGAAGATACTATTGGTTTTATTTCTATATTTCACGTGTACGAATACTTTTGTGATCCACTGTAGGTTAAACCAGTACTGATTACGTCGCTGCACATTGCAAAAGGTAAAAATCGAAAGTTATATATGTACATTGCTCAAAAGAAATATGGCATAGAAAAATTTTAGGCGAAAATTGGCCAAATTTGACTGATGATAACTCCGTGAAAAATCATCGCAAGGTTGTCTTGTTAAATTTCTGTAGGGTTCAAATCTGGACTTAATGCAGGATGTGGAAGCAATCGAATTGAATTGGGACTGCAAAATTCGAGAGTGATTCTCAACGAGGTTTCTCGACGATAATTCATACACACACACAGATACTCACACACAAATACATACAAAAATAGGTTCTTGTCAGAGCCATATGATGTGCAAAATCTGTCCAGCAACCTCTCCGAGGTGCATGTCGGGTAATGCTAATGCCGACGGTACATGCCATAAATGCAAGGGTTTTTTTAAAGTTCTGTATCTTTGCGGGAAAAAATGGTAGCGGTTTTTCACATACTGGAAATTAAAGATGAAGGTTTGTACTTTATGCTGCTGTAAACAGTATCACAAAAAAAAAAAATGTAGCAAGTCGATGCATTTCGTCAAACTTTGTAATTTTCAATATTGCAAACATGATCTCACATTTACGGTGTTATTGTGGTAGTGATGCAACAAATCTAAAATCAAACTACAGGGTCTTAAAGTAGAGATCTCAAGCTTTAATTTGAAAAAAAGAGCATAACTTTGCGATGATTTTTCACGGAGTTATCATCAGTCAAATTTGGCCAATTTTTGCCTAAAATTTTTCTATGCCATATTTCTTTTGAGCAGTGTATATGAGATTTTTGAAAGTTTCATTATTACATGGTCTTATTATGGGGTGATTTAATTCAGTAATGTGTACGTTCATGTTATACATCTTTTTTCAGGAAATGTGGCAAGAGAAAAGGGATCTTGTAGATATCGAATTTGTATTATGTTCTGAATTTTTAATGCTTATCAAAAGCATCGTAATGCTTAAACGGAAAATTCTTGAAATTTGTAATATAGAAGTCAGTTCTTTCATACAGCATTTAGACTACAAATTCGTAAATTTGAAAATTCCTTAGTTTCTAAATTTTTCAATTTGAAAATTTGAAAATTTAAGAATTTATGATTTTGAACATTTCAAGATTTGAAAATAAGTGATTTTTAAAATTTGAAAATGTTAATATGTTCTCGTAAGGTGGTCAGGAGAGAGAAAGTGAATGTAATGTTTATTTTCCGTTTTTTCACATATCTTATCGATACAAGGCCCGTGCCTAGGGGCGCGCACTGGATCTGCCCATTAGTTTTCTAAACTACCTTTCATGAATAAATTTGTTCAGTTTTTTGATAAAATACTTTTGATGAAATTTTTTAATGAAAACATCGTAATAGTGTTGTATGTAAATAAAATTTGTGATTGTTTAAGTGGCCTGGGACGCAATTTCTAATTATTCAGTTTTTTCATTTTTTATAGATTTTTAATGAATTTTTCAGACATTTCCATTACTGCAATAAATTATTAGGATACAGGTGGTTACTAAGTGATTGTCTTGCAATTACATTATCTTTCATTAGTTATTTTCGTCTACATTTAATAATTTAAATGATTGACTTAAGTAGTATAGTTATTGATCGTTCAAACTTCTGAGGTATTAACGATATATGTACATATACTGCGTAATAATTTCCCAGAGGTCTGTTGTGTTAAATAATGATGGTTACGAATATTATATAAAGGGACATTAGACAGTACAGTGTAATAAAATAAGTACGTTTCCACAAGTGAGTAAAGTTTCTTCCCCCATTTGATTTTAAGAGTCAATAATTGCTTTTTACCATTCAGAACTGTTGAAGGACTGACAATTATTGACATAAACATATAATACCTGTTACATTGTCTATAAGATTTTAATCTGATGATCATACTAACATTTAATTAAATTAGTATTAAATGTTAGACTCTATACTATAATTCCTTGATTGCTATGAAAGTGGACATTGTTCTGTTAACTTGCTTTCTATATTTTGTTTCATCGGTATAAAAATCAGAATAAATTATTATCGAGCATTTTATACTTTATACTACAATTTCATCATTTGAAAGAAATGAATATTTTATTCCGTTATGAATATTTTTCCACAATGAGGGTAAGTAATGAGAGAGTAAAATTAAATCATTAAAATTGAATTTTTCTTGTGGGAAACTAAGCAATGAAGAAAGGATAAAAGGATAAACATAATGTTAATGAATAAACATATGTGTATATCAATATTTAAAATGAACACATATATTCTAATTTTCTGTATATATTTGCATTAATGAATTATAGTCTGGCTATTACAAGGTTTAAGATAACACATTTTTGTGTCACATTTTCTAATAATTCAACATATAGTACAAGGAAACAACTATTTTTTGGTTAATCTTGTATATTTTCCTGATAATTGATAGATTTCCTTAAAAAATTTTTTAATTCCTTATAGAATCGTTGAACTTCATGCACGATTTTTCGTCTTCCAGCATATTTCCGAACAGAGTATTCTGACCTAATGGTATAATCGAATAGGAGGTGAATCTATGTGAAGAAATGTGTAAAAAATCATTATATATTAATATTCGTATCAATAATATTGTAAAGTATCACTGATAATAAACTTTTATTATATTATTGACTAAAGCTTTAAAATTAAATTTAGTTAAAATCTATATTCTTCATAAAATTAACACACCATGGTTGACTCAGCCATTCAAAATGTGTTAATAGAACTAAAGAAATGCGTTTAATTTCGTCATCTCGGTTTAAGTTACAACGGACGTTCACAAATACTAGATCCACGAATCCATGAATAATCAATGAACCTAACGTGTGTAGTGTCCAATCAGTTAAGCAACCCTTTTCGAAGTCTTAATCAAGACGTCGTAGCGCAATGTAAATGTTAACGCGATAAAGATCACGTAATATTAGTAAACTTTTGGAAGCGCCTACCTTTCGTTGAGAGAGAGGGTTACGCTGGAGTTCACGGTGCGTTCGCGGTTTCGTCGAACGACCTCGAACAACTCCCCGTATCTTTGACATATTGGCATACAAGTCGCGTGTATACGCGCGACGATATGAAGAAACATAAACGTGCATACCCAACAGTTGTGTCGGTCGTATATCGCAACATTTATGAGGAGGTCATCGGATGGTAAAGGAAAGAGGACTAGGTAGGCTGAATAAAAGAAGGAGAGATTAAGTGGGGGCGTGTGTATGTGTGTGTAAGGCGGGTGACTTAACGTAAGTTTGGGTGCAAGGAATAGCTCGGTTATTGTTAGCAAATGATACGAAAACATCGACGGTCATCACGCATATAAAAGTACGAGGAATCTTACACCGAGACATCAGTCTTCTGGCGATCCTCTCACAAACAAACATGGTTGGAAAGGTAAGGAAAGCTTAGTCCATTTCGATTATCAATCAAGAGATATGCGACAAGTTCTAAGCAGATTTACAAGTCCACATTCGTCCTTTGAAAACTTAATTTGCCAAGGATGTTTCTATTATTTTTTAAAACAATGCAATCTTCTACGGTACTCGTGTGAGTCTAAAATTAATTCTTTATCATGGATTTCAGCTCGTCGTATTCTTAAGCTTGGCAGTTCTTTCAAAGGGGGCGGTGGTCCCAGCAGTACCGTCAGCAGTGGCGTCTGCTCCCGTCGTAACAAGTGTAACGGCGGCGAAACTCGAGGAATTAGATGCAGCTCCTCAATACAGTTTCGCGTACGACGTTCAGGATGCAGTTACTGGCGACTCAAAGGCCCAATACGAGACGAGAAATGGTGATGTGGTGCAGGGTAGCTATAGTCTAATCGAGGCAGACGGTACTCGACGCATCGTTGAGTACACAGCGGACCCTATAAATGGATTTAATGCCGTGGTCAGTCGCGAACCAGCAACCGCCGTAGCAGCCATTGCCGCGCCTGTCTTGCCTTATGCACCTGCTATCGCACCTTCCAGTGCAGTCGCACCCGTTTTGCCAGCCGCAGCTGGACCAGCGCCGGCTGTTCCAGCTAATGGTCCGGACTCCGATGTAGAAGTTGTCGAAGCAAGATCCGGTCCTCTTGTTACAGCAAGGCCAACCAATCGTGACAAACAGCTACGACAGCAACAAGAGCAGCAACTGCAACAGCTGAAAGAAATTGAAAAACAGCAGCAAGAACAGCTGCAACAACTTCAGCAACGATCTAGGTTGCAATTGCAACAACAGATTCAACAACGCCAACAGCAAAAGATACAGCCAGAACAAGAGGGAAAGCAAGAACGGCAGCAAGAAGAACAACAACAACAGCAAGGCGTACCAGTGAAAGCTTTTGTTACATCAGCGCAGGGAGCAACACAAACTCAACGATTCGTAGGCCTGTCGCCGGTTCGAGCTGTCACAAGTTATACTACGTATCCTAACGCATATGCTTATACGGCCGCCTATTCTTCACCTTTTGCTTACGCAGCACCCCTCGGTGGTCTCACCTATGCTCCTGCTACCGCACTCCTTTAAACTGTTACTTATTTAATACTGTCACTACAACGCCCTTCTAATGAAACTACAGAAATTGCAATAAATATACATATTTTACAATAAATTGTTAAAAATGACTTGATCTATATCATTGTTCCATGTTCCTCAGATCTTCAAGATACTTATGCAATTGAATCGAACATTTGGAAAAGGAGTCATTTTCGTTTATTCAAATTGTGCAAGAGAAACAGAAATACATTGCATCGTATTATATTTCTGAAAAAATAATAGCAGCAATTATATATTATTAAAGAGAATTACATATGACATGCTTATATGAAATGCTTATAATAATCTGCAAAAATAATCGTTGTAAGTCTTACGGTGTATTGAGAAGTACAAAGTCAATGGAAAACGAAGTTTCGGAAGAATTTTCAAAGTGCCCAATTCAATTAAAGGTATACTTTAAGAGTGTAGAAAGAAGAACTGATAAAGATTCAGTTACTGCTAATAAACAGTTTAGTGTTTGTACCAGTTAAATCATCAAAATAATTCGTATAATTCGTAATAAATACTCTAGAAAATAACGTACATGCTTTTATAAGATTACATTTGCAATTTACTGATTAGGTCGAAATTTATTTTTAGAATAAATATAGAAGTTATGCTGATGTCTGCGTAATCTCAGTTTCTTGAAATAATAGGTCTAATGACCTACGTGATCGTTCGTAGGCATAATAAGTAAAAGTGTCGCAAATAACGTCGATCAATATTACAAACGGACGCAGTTCGTTCTCTCATCACGTTCAATTGTGGAGCTTTGATTCATTGTGCCGGCTGTTCCAGCTAATGGTCCGGACTCCGATGTAGAAGTTGTCGAAGCAAGATCCGGTCCTCTTGTTACAGCAAGGCCAACCAATCGTGACAAACAGCTACGACAGCAACAAGAGCAGCAACTGCAACAGCTGAAAGAAATTGAAAAACAGCAGCAAGAACAGCTGCAACAACTTCAGCAACGATCTAGGTTGCAATTGCAACAACAGATTCAACAACGCCAACAGCAAAAGATACAGCCAGAACAAGAGGGAAAGCAAGAACGGCAGCAAGAAGAACAACAACAACAGCAAGGCGTACCAGTGAAAGCTTTTGTTACATCAGCGCAGGGAGCAACACAAACTCAACGATTCGTAGGCCTGTCGCCGGTTCGAGCTGTCACAAGTTATACTACGTATCCTAACGCATATGCTTATACGGCCGCCTATTCTTCACCTTTTGCTTACGCAGCACCCCTCGGTGGTCTCACCTATGCTCCTGCTACCGCACTCCTTTAAACTGTTACTTATTTAATACTGTCACTACAACGCCCTTCTAATGAAACTACAGAAATTGCAATAAATATACATATTTTACAATAAATTGTTAAAAATGACTTGATCTATATCATTGTTCCATGTTCCTCAGATCTTCAAGATACTTATGCAATTGAATCGAACATTTGGAAAAGGAGTCATTTTCGTTTATTCAAATTGTGCAAGAGAAACAGAAATACATTGCATCGTATTATATTTCTGAAAAAATAATAGCAGCAATTATATATTATTAAAGAGAATTACATATGACATGCTTATATGAAATGCTTATAATAATCTGCAAAAATAATCGTTGTAAGTCTTACGGTGTATTGAGAAGTACAAAGTCAATGGAAAACGAAGTTTCGGAAGAATTTTCAAAGTGCCCAATTCAATTAAAGGTATACTTTAAGAGTGTAGAAAGAAGAACTGATAAAGATTCAGTTACTGCTAATAAACAGTTTAGTGTTTGTACCAGTTAAATCATCAAAATAATTCGTATAATTCGTAATAAATACTCTAGAAAATAACGTACATGCTTTTATAAGATTACATTTGCAATTTACTGATTAGGTCGAAATTTATTTTTAGAATAAATATAGAAGTTATGCTGATGTCTGCGTAATCTCAGTTTCTTGAAATAATAGGTCTAATGACCTACGTGATCGTTCGTAGGCATAATAAGTAAAAGTGTCGCAAATAACGTCGATCAATATTACAAACGGACGCAGTTCGTTCTCTCATCACGTTCAATTGTGGAGCTTTGATTCATTGTCGTTCACCGTTACGTAAGCTGCCTTTACGTTGCTGTCGTATTTCAGCTTTTACGCAAGAAAAAATTGCGTACTGCACATACGTAGCCGACCAGACTCGTAATATGAGACGACCTTCGACTACGCGCTACGTAACAAACTAGATGTGTTACGAGTTGCACATATCGCGCATGACCGTGTTGCACTTTCGTGGTACCAAGTTTCGACAACTTTGGTTAGCTTTTAGAGGTGTGATCAATATACAGCAAAAATATTAAGTCATTGCATCAGGTAATGAAGCTTTCATAAATGATTTTAACATCTCATTATTTGGGAAAAATACTTTCTTCATTGTTGTAAAAATGAAGAATCACAAACTGCTGACTCCAATTTGAATGAACTTTTGTCTAACTTGTAAAACAGTTGAAAATAATAAATACATATTCTTTTCAGTTGCGAATTCAAGTTTAAGGAGTGAAACTCAAATTTAAGGAGTGAAACTATTCTTCAAAATTTTACTTTTAGGCAGGTAACTTTAGAAGCTTTGAAAATATTTTAAAAACAAATGTTTCAACAAAAATTGAATGTTTTTGGCGTATAAAGATCCTTAAAAAATTAGACTACTTCATATCAAAAACTCATATATTACTTTCAAATTTCCATTCGTCAAACTAATAATGAGACAAATGAACAATGATTAAAAAATAATTAAAACTGCTTAAAAATATTTTCAAAATTTTTGTTGTACGCCTACCAACGAACGTGGCATATCCAACGTGATAAATTGTATAAGAATTGCAGTAACAATTCTACAATTCCATAAGCAAAAATTTAAAAATTACAGTAAATGAAACCGTAAGCATTTTTGAACATTCAAACATATTTAAGGATAAATCATATAAAAGTAATATTTCTTCACTTAGCTTTACTAAAAATTATCAATATATGACTTTCTCGTGTAAGACACGGATGAAAATAAGAGGCACGTTACTCTAATTTCGTTTTACAAAATAATATACTTTAAAAAGACGATTCCGAGGGTGAAGTCACGTCTTTGAATGGTCTCTAAAGAATGATCCTCCTCAAGTTTCTCAAGGTTTCCTAGCCCCCGCGGAACTGGAGCCTCGGGGTTGTTTTATGGCCCGGACGTCATAACATCAGGCCTAATCGCCGTGGTGATCGTCGTTGGACGGTCATGTATCCCTTGTCACATGTATAGTATGTACACAGGGTGTCCGCGCCAAAGTGTTACACCGTGATATCTCATGAATTATTGATGTTACGAAAAAGTGCTTATATGGAAATTGCAGGGTAAAAGAGGCATATGTTTTGGCAGAAGCAAAATTTTTTTATTGTTATTAATGTAAAAGATATGATGGTGAAGTTTCGTTTTTTAAATGGAACTATATATTTTTTTTCCGATCAGGCGATTAGTGCTTTTCAAGACGAATTCATTAAGGTTTCATGTAGGTACTTACCCGATTTTCATTAGTTTTCGAAATATAACGGTTACAAATTTAGTGATTTTCAGGAGTGACATCTCGATTTGACGAGTAAGTCATAAAAGCGGTCTTATTGTTATAGTAAGTGCCGCAAGTTCGACTCTGCCTGCCGAAATAGATAGGCGGGGTCTATGGTCGAAATGGCAGATCCGAAGAGTAAGAAATGTGAAAAGTATTGTCCATTATGGTCTAAGTTTTCCGTATCGAAGATGATATTAATAATTTGGAAGGTTGGGACATTTATTTAAATGTTTCAGTACAAGGTAGGTATAAAGACAATTTAACAAAAAATTTATTCCACGCGCTTTCCGCTATTTGAAATACAAGTTTGTGGCTGCGTAAAGTATTCAACGACAAATGGATAGGCCGTAGTGGACCAATTTCTTGGCCACCGCGGTCACCTGATTTAACCTCGTGCGATTTCTTCTTGTGGGGTTACATTAAACAAGAGATTTATAGAACGCCGATAAACAATATAACTGACTTAAAAAATAGAATACACAATGCATGCGTAAATATTTCGTACGAAATTATGGAAAACGTCGAGAACGAATTTGTAAAACGTATACAAACTTGTATTCACCATCATATCTTTTACATTAATAACGATAAAAAAATTTTGCTTTTGCCAAAACATAGGGTTTCTTTTTAATCGACTTCGAAAAAGGAGGGGGTTACTCAATTCGATCACTATATTTTGCCCTGCAATTTCCGTATAAGCACTTTTTCGTGACATCAATAATTCATAAGATATCACGTTGTAACACTTTGGCGCGGACACCCTGTATATGTATATATGAAATATATGTATATCTCATATGTATATATGTGTGGTGTGTGGTATGTGTGTGTGTGTACTTTGTAATTGTATGGTATGTGTGTGTTTGACATGGGTGCATAATATGAATGAAGCTTGCGTATGGTATGATTGAAGTTTGCATGCAATGAAGGTTGCTAGAAGATTGTCTTTTGGGTGCGATTGAATGTTTTGAGAAGAAGCTGATGGGGATTGCTTTGTGAGAATTTGAGAGGAAAAGACGTGAGAATTTTGTAATTTGAGAAGTTTCATCTTTGTGTTGCAATTCATTAATTATACCCAGTAATATTTTGTTAATAAATTTCATGCATTATATTTAATTATTAAATATTATTCTACAAATTGGGGGCTCAGCCGGGATAAGAATTTAAACCGAGTCGTATCAGAGCAATTGTGCGGACATTTTGTGCAGACATTTTGTGTGAACATTTAGAGTACTATTAATTGAGAGTATAGTTTGGAAGTGATAGTTTATTATTGAAGAGATCGTTAAAATGAGTTGGGTAATTAAAAATCCAAATGATTTCTGCATCGCAGAATTGAAAGAGAAATTGCGAGAAATGGGACTTCAAACTTCTGGGTTGAAAGCAGAATTGATTCAGCGTTTGTCTGACGCCGATCCAACGGGAGAATGGTTAAAGGTGCGTATAAGTGATGAAATTGAAGAAAATGCAAGTGAAAATGCGTCAGGATTTGATGAGTTGGCATATATGCGACGAGAGATGGAACTCTCGAAAAGAGAAAAACAATTGATGGAACGAGAGCTCGAATTTGCGCGACAACAAATTGAATTACTTCAAAGGATACAACGTGTAAACTCTAATTCTAACCAATGCGAAGCGGAAGATTCGGCACGATCATTGCCAAGACAAGAACGACCGGCGCTTGTAAACATATCTGCTATTGCAGATTTATTAAGTAATTTTGATGGAAGTGATAATAATTTTATTATATGGGAGCGTCAAGTTCAAACTCTAAAAACAACGTACCAGCTGACAGATGACATGACAAAATCATTAATGGGATCACATCTTAAAGGAAATGCATTTGAATGGTTTCATTCGAAATCAGAACATATTGCGATGTCGGTTGAAGAGCTACTGAAGAATTTGCGTGAAATGTTCTATCACCCTGAGAATGTTCTTGAAATGAGGCGACGTTTTGAGGCACGTATTTGGAAAAAGGAAGAGAGTTTTAGCGAGTACGTGCATCAGAAGGTTATTTTGGGAAATCGTGTGCCAATTAGTGACACAGAAATTGTAGAGTATTTAATAGATGGAATACCTGATCGTGGATTAAGGGATCTTGCACGGGTACAAAATATTGCAACGAAAGGAGAATTGCTAGCGGCATTCAACAAAATTTCTCTTCGAGAAAGATCGTTGCCATTTACTCCAGTAACTAGTCCAAAGGAAATCAAGTGGTCACCAGTGAGGCAATAGGATAAGAAGGAAGAGTCAAATAACGAATTGCGATGTTTTAATTGCGGTGACAAGAATCATCTGGGGGTGAACTGCCCGATTAAGAGCAAGGATCCAAGATGTTTTGCGTGTCGAGAGTTTGGGCATAGAGCTGTAGATTGTAAGAAGGGACAGGATAAACAGGTAAACGTTCAGCAGTTGTCGGCAGAGATAATAAGGTATACAAATCTGTAAATTTATTATCTAAGCAAGTAGAAGCATTTTTAGATATGGGCAGTGATTTGCATATAATGAAAGCTGAACAATATATTAAATTAGGATGCCCAAGTCTACACGGTTCAGAAATCTCTTGCATCGGTTTCGGTTTAAATAAAGTTACTACATTAGGCAGTTTTTATGCAGAAGATGTACAGATTGATGAAAATACTTTCCGATTATTGATTCATGTTGTATCAGATAAATATTTAAGACACAATTTTTTGATTGGTACACAGTTGTTAGAAGAGGCTAAATTGGTTATAGACGGCAAAAATGTTGAAATAACGAAGCGTGAAAATAATGTAACTAATTCTTGTGATGTTCCAGAAATATTTTCCATTGACGTCTTCGATGAGTCCAGCAACAATTTAACAAATTCATTAATAGATTTACAGCATATCAAAAATGAAAGTATCAAACAAGAATTAGAGGATATTATAAACAATTATGAGCCAAAAGCAATTAAGGAGTCTAACGTTAAGCTGGAAATAGTATTGAAAGATGATATACCTACGTATCAACCTCCGCGTAGATTAGCACCGGTTCAGAGGGAAATAATTAAAAAACAAGTAGATGAATGGATGCGAGCAGGTATTGTGCAAGAAAGTATATCTGAGTATGCTAGTCCGATTGTTCTTGTTAAGAAAAAAGATGGTTATGAATTTTTAAGAACACTCTTCGGTCTTTGTAATTCTCCGGCCGTATTTCAGAAATATAATAATAGCATATTTCGAAATCCGATTAAGACAGATATCGTTTTAACAGATGATTTGATAATTCCTGCGAATGACGAAAGTGAAGTTGTATCGAGATTACGGGAAATTTTGTATATTGCGGGCGATTATGGTTTAAGTTTAAATTGGAAAAAATGTATTTTTCTTCAGTGTAAAGTAGATTATTTAAGTCATATAATTGAGGATGGACATGTTCGTTCGTCAAAGCGTAAAAAAGCTAATATTTTTAAGATACATCAAGAAAATAGGCGAAATTTCAGTCGGCATTGTAAAAAAAGCTCATCATTATCAAGAAGGAGACTTGGTCGCTATCAAGAGAACACAATTAGAACCAGGTTTAAACAAACGTCGACTGCTGTAGAGAATATGAAATCTTGGTTCGAGGATCTAGAAGATTTATTGTCTGATAATGAAAATATATCTGATATCTGAGGACAGATATCGCTGCAGGATGGCCGAGTGTGGTGTGTGGTATGCGTGTGTGTGTACTTTGTAATTGTATGGTATGTGTGTGTTTGACATGGGTGCATAATATGAATGAAGCTTGCGTATGATATGATTGAAGTTTGCATGCAATGAAGGTTGCTAGAAGATTGTCTTTTGGGTGCGATTGAATGTTTTGAGAAGAAGCTGATGGGGATTGCTTTGTGAGAGTTTGAGAGGAAAAGACGTGAGAATTTTGTAATTTGAGAAGTTTCATCTTTGTGTTGCAATTCATTAATTATACCCAGTAATATTTTGTTAATAAATTTCATGCATTATATTTAATTATTAAATATTATTCTACATATGCATACATAAAAATATTAATTCTTTTACAAAAAATGAAGTTTTGCAAAAACATACTATTACTTTCAAAATTTTATACATAATTGTCTACGTCAAAAAAGCTTCCAGCCACATGCACATATGCACAAGTCCGTTATTGTATTTGTAAATAGAAACCTTACTGTTTTCTGTACATTACTGTCAAATAGAAACGTGTACAAACTTCTTACAGCATCGTTGAGGTCATTAATTATACACCAGAATTTTAACAAAAATAGCCAGTAATTATTTTGAAATGATGGAAATATAATATAACGTAATATAATATAGCAAATATAACATGATGTACGACCAAAGTTTGCAGAGCTATTATTAGTATACATACAACATGCGTTATTAGAATGTAGCTATAGGTACTGTTAGAAAAATAATAAAAAATGGACAAAAAGAAACTAAATGCAATGATTTGTCGAGGAAACTAAACTCGTTCTACTTTGTGAAAATTTATTGTGATGTATCCGTTTTAAGCATTCGGGAAACTTTCGGGCCCTATCCCATTCCGCTATCGTTGCAGCGTGCGTCTCAATCCCATAGCCATGGTAGGTCCAGGCCCTGCCTATAATCTTGAAAATTTAGCCGCAGGAACATTCCCTGACACCTTACAGTACATAATTCAAAATCATGATAAATTATTGTGATGTAGTGTGAGTGTGATGTCGTGGATCCGCGGGCCGAGCCG